AGGTACCTACCACAGATTTGTCTCAAAAAAAGATGCGGGGTCATTAGGTATGTGATGAAGACAAAACAAAACATGATCTCAAAGTATTTATAATCTTGGCTTTCTGGAAGGATTATAAAATTACTTCCTTCTGGCCTTTGCCGTGCTGTTTAGGGTAAATGATAGGGAGGATTAGAAGGAAGCTAAAGAGTAGTTACATTGGTTAACCAAGAGACAATAAAGCAAATAAAGACAAGTTATTGTTCAAGTTTGGAAGTCTTCTGGAATGTGACATTGTAAAATGGCCATGAAGTAGTCCTGTTGTAGTCACATTTTAGGTGGTTTTGTTAAAGATGGTCTGACAAGCCCAAGCCATCTCAAACCTGCTGCCTTGCAAGACTGTGCCATCTCTGGAAGGCACAGTGACTCACTCCATATGGTCTTTTTGATATATGGGGATTGGGTTTTTGGGGAAGGAGAGTGTCACAAAGTGTTACAAAGGGGTGTCCAAGTGAGTGGTCAAGATACTTCTATAGATATTATACACTAACTTTCCTAGCCTTGACCAATTTCTAGTTTGAGGTCCATGCTCTTTTCATTTCTGAGAAGATTAAGGTTGCTGGTGATGATTACATATCCTGCCACATCATACTCCGGCTATCTTTCCACACCAGAATCTAAAATACTGCTGCATTTTGATAGAAGAACAAAGGAGACCATGTATGTTAGGACTCCTGATACTTTGATGGTGTTGCCATCCAACAGAGCTTTCATTCCAACAATTTCCTGATGTTCATATTGAAGTGGGGCTTCTAGAGCTTGTAGCTTCATCCAGACTGTAGGAAGAGATTAAGAAAAGACAGCCTTGGAGATAGCCTGACTTCTAATGCCTGACGATGCTATTGGGAACATTTCCTTGACTTTGCAGTAGCTGATGAATGGGTACCAGCATGGCTTGTGGGAACTGGGACCTCACCGTTTATCTTGACATTCTCAAACACGTTTTGGATCTGGATTTGACTGAGCATCAGGGAAATCATGAGCTGTCATCCTGAGAACCTAATTTTCTGAAGTCTAGATGATGAGTGTCCTAGGTCATACTTTTCGAGAAAGCTGGTCGTGATTAACGTCCACTTCCCAGGTTGGTAGGTGATAGATTTTGGTGAACAGGCTATTTTTATAAGATAAAGTTATTTCTTATCCTGACAGCATTCAATGGGGGAGGGAGGGGCTGTCTGATTATTACCCTGGTTGATCCAGGTAAATCCAGAGGCCCCCCCACCCCACCCCCTTGGTTATTAGTGGCAAAGGAAGAATTCTGGACCATTTTTCTAGTGCAAAAATATTCCAGAATTAAGCAGGGGTCATCTCTGATCCTCCTTTTCTTTTCTTTTTTCTTTTTTTATTATTTATATATATTTTTATTATTCATACATTAAATCGCTACATATCATTTAGATTGTGAAGAGACTTCACCCAGCATGATATACACCTCAGTCCAGCCCAGTTGAGACCACCACACACAACCTCGTCAACAGATAATAAACCTTATCTGTGTCCCACGAGTGTCTTACTTCTCCATTTCCCCCCCCAACTTTCCTATGCTCTTCCCCTCTCACACTCTCTTTCCACTTTGTCTCTAGCGTCCATTAAAATTTTTATTATTTTCATATTTCCCAGTCTTTCACTCTACAATAGAGTTCAGACATTTGATATATGTTAAGTGGAGACATGCAATGTCTCTCTTTCATAGCCTGACTTGCTTCGCTCAGCAAAAATCTTCTATATTAGTCCGATTTCCATCAAATTCCGGGGCCTTGTTGTTTTTTAATGGCTGAATAGTATTCCATTAAGTATATGTGCCACAATTTTTCAATCCATTCATCTGTTTGTGGACATTTGGGTTGGTTCCATGTCTTAGCAATCATGAATAAGGCTGCAATGAATACAGATGTGCAAGCGTTTTTCCGACTGAGTGATCTCCTGCCCTTTGGGTAGATACCCAGAAGTGGAATTGCTGGAAAATATGGTAGTTGTATGTGAAGGTCTTTGAGGAAACTCCATATCGTTCTCTACAGTGGCTGGACCAATTTACATTTCCACCAACAGTGTAGGAGTGTTCCCCTTTTGTTTCTGCCCTTTCTAATTTTACTGGTTTATGTCTTATTTACTATTCCTTCTGTAAGGTGTGTGTCATTTCAATTTGCAATTTCAACATGGGATAAATAATTTTAAAGGAAATCTGGTTTTAGTGAGACAAATTAAAATCCAATTAAAGAAATAAATAGTGAACGGTAGAGTGTCAATGAGTTGGGGGTTGGGTGGGGATTGGTTTGAACTCAGAAAACAGATGAAAATTACCTGGCAGGTAGGGGGAGGTTGAACTCCACAGAAAAGGCTTAGAAGGCAAAGCAGAAAATAGGGGGTAATTACAGGTGAGAGAGTCTGTCTGTGACCTGCTCAATAGAGAAAATGCGAGGAACAAGCTGTAAGGGAAATGCATTTGATTAAAAAGCAGCTTAACCTCTTCAAGAAGGCTGGATTGGGGAGAGAAAAAAACGATAAAGCTGCTGTGAAACTTCACATGAGGGACATGAAAGAATGTGAAAGTGAACGTACATGTTTGTATATTCTCACAGGGATTCTTAGAGAAATTAAAGTGAGTTTGACAACACTGCTTGAGACTCTGCCTTATTCTAGGTACTGTGCTGGGGCTAGGGATGCAGAACTCGAATGAAGAATGCATAGATCCTGTCCTCAAGCCCTGGCAGGCTAGTGTGGGAGTTGGCCAGTAGTGTGTGAGAGTTGGTTAGTAGTATGCAGAGAGGCTGTATTTGTTAGTTCAGGCTGCTGTAACAAAGCATCGTAGCTTGGTGGCTTAGAAACAACAGATCTTTGTTTCTCACAGTTCTGGAGGCTAGACATCTGAGATCAAGGTGCCAGCATGGTTCAGTTCTGGGGAGGACTCTCTTCTGGGTTACAGATGGCTGACTTCTTATATCCTCACATGGTGGAGAGAAGGGGAGAGAGAGATAGACAGAGAGAGGTAGTGAGAGAAAGAGAGTACCCTCTACAGGGTCTGGTCATGCCATGGTCCTCTTCTTCCAGTCCTTCAGTGCATTGGATCCTGGTCAGCTGTGTGTGTGCCTGGTGTTTTTTAGTCTGACCACACCAGGGTTTCAAACCATGGTCACCATGTGGGCTCCAGCTTTTCTTGGGCAGCACATTACTGTTGTGCCATGGAACTGTCTCCAAGTTCTACATACAGGGCACTAATCTCATTCATGAGGGCTCTACTCTCATGACCTAATCACTTCCCACAGGTGTTACCTCCTAATGCACTCAAACTGGGGGTTCAACATATAAATTTGGGGGTGACCCAAATATTCAGTCCATAGCAGATGTCAACACTCCCTTGCTCACAAAAGGATGGACCTGGAATGATTCATGCTACATTCTCTCCAATTATCCACTGAGGGGAGTTGCAGCAGGTCTGTGAGGAAGAGGTTTAGGGTGCTGGCTATCAAAAAGAGAGAGAATGAATTGGAGAGGCAGGGTTGGGATTAAGGTAAGGTGAGTGAGGAGCTTACCTCAAGTGCAACATTTAAAAGGGTTGCCATAGGGGGCTGGATTATGCCACAGAGGTAAGGCAATGCTCTGTGAGGCTCACAAGGGGTGGCTCCGGGTCACTTCTGAAGACCTCTCTGAATACTCCTGACACAAGCATACTTATGATTTGGGGCTGGCTGGAGCTGGGAGAGGTTGCTGCCTGAGGACCCTTTTGGGGATGTGACTCTCCACCTTTTCCTCTTTCATTCTGTCTCTCTCGCTCATGGAGAGAAAAATAAGCTTAAAGAAAAGGGTCACCAGAAAGCTCAGCAACGAAAATAAATAATATTGCAATATGATACTTGAAAAATAAAATTAATAAAAATTTATGATATCAAAATTTTAGATAAAGACAAGGTCCATAACGGTGCCCTGCCAAGCCATCATTGAAGCCTGAGGCAAAAATACAGTGCAGAAATACTGATCTCATCTTTATTTAAAATTTTATTTTGTTCATCTTGGTGTTCTTTGTATGAATTTTGTTTTAAAAAATTTACAGTAAAATATTATGCATCTTGATAATTGAGTTTTTTGGCACCCTCTTCAATTTGTGCTCAGGGCATTCTCAGCCCTGTGGAGAAGAAAGATGGTGTTTGCCCCTGGGTGGCCCCGTGGACCTGTTCTGTGGTAAGCTTTCTGGAATGAGAGGAGCTGTCAGTTCATGGTAAAGGGATGGTTTGTACTAGGATCTCCCGGGATTTGGGAAGCAGGGCAGCTTTGACCCAGTGATGGAAGTATGACAGGGCCCTGGGCTGGAGCATTCTCCCATCTATGGAGGAGCCCAGGGTGAGTCTGTGCAGTGGAAGCTGAAGGGAACACGGTACCATGTGGACCCCGTGGATGTGGCAGCTGTGGCGTGCAGCATCCTTGCACATGGCTTATCTTTGTACTTCTTAACACACCACAGACCCCAGGTGTCCATTGGGTGAAAGGATGAATGCAATTTGTGATATGTCCCTTGTGTGGTTAGAATGTCCCAAAGAACAAAAAGACTCCTCCCCCATTAAAAAAGGGGTAAAAATGACCATTTTCATTTTAAATTGTAAGCTTCAGTAGCACCGAGTACATCCACATTTTTGTGCAACCATCACCTCCACCTAGCTCTAGAAAACTTTCAGCTTCCGCCCAAAAACAAGAAACAAAAAACAAACAAAAACTTTGAGCTTCCTGAGCAGAAACTCAGTAAGCAGTAACTCTTCATCCTGTCTCCTCTCAGCCCCTGGCATTCAGCATTTTACTTCCTGTTTGTATGGATTTGACTACTCTTGATATCTCAAATAAGTGGAGCCATATGAAATAGGACCTCTGTGACTGGCTCACTTTATTTTGCATAGTGTTTACAATCATCTGAGTTGTAGCATTTTTCAGATTTCCTTCTTTTTCGGTGTTGCATCATTTTTTGTATTCTGCGGTTTGTTTATCCATTTATCTGCTGATGCATACTGGGTGGCTTCCATCTTTTGGCTGTCGTGTTGCTCGAACACACTCTCCCACTTCTTAGTCTTAGAGAAATGCAAAGCAAAGAGGTCCCTACAGGGCAGTACCCATGCTGATCTTATTTCACTCTCCATCACAGCTTTGGCCTTTTGGATGGAGTCAGTGACTTGACTTCAGACCCTTAGAAGACCTGTTCTGTTCTAGGCACTAGGTTTGGTGTTGCAGATAGAAAATCAACAAAGACACACTTGTCTTAAAGAACATAGCTAATGTTAAGGAGTGGGGGGGGGGGGGGTTAGAAACCCTGGTAGGGCAGATGCATCAGAAAATGATTCTATTTGGATGTAGGGCCAGGTTTGGTCAGAGAAGCCAATGCTTCTGTTTATTATTTCGGTCCTTGAGCGAGCAGGGAGTTCCTGTGAGAGGAGAAGATTTCACTAAAGTGGGTATTATAAGAAATATAGACTTGAAGGAGATTTTGGAGTCTCGATCAATATCCCTTTTTGAATTTACTGACCAGTCAAGTTAGGTGGGTATTTGCAACACTTCAACTAGTGAGTTTTAAGGTTGTGACTATTGAGTTTGTTACTTTCTGTCTGGGGGTTCCTGAGTCCAGTCAGAGAGGCAAAGGGATTTCCAAGGACAGAATTCAATGCATTATGCCTCTCCTCTGGCCCATAAATACACATACCTGTATCCTGAAAGGAGCTGAGCTTCAGAAAGTCCTTGAAACCAAGAGTCTGTTGGCTGATTTCACAGGAATGCTTCATGGCTGAGAGAAAACCATTCAGCCTATTAAAAGTCGTATACCCTCTTTAATGTGGATGATAAAACTTTAATTAAAGTGGTGATTAGAAACAGAATAATAATGACCACTAATAAAGTAGTTTATAGGGATCGATAGCTTTACAAAGAGCAGCCCATCCTGTTGCTGGTGGGTTGTTGCAGGAAGCCTCAGAGCATGGGCTCTGGGCAGGGTAAAAGGATTAGGGGAAGGGTTTACTGGAATAGAGAGATAACATAAAAGGCAATTTATAATGTGTGACTCCGAGCAATGAGCTAGGGAAAATGAAGAGCTGTGATGTGGATGGAATTTGTTGTACCTTTGCATTATGAATGAGCTGTACAAGATTGCTGGCTACAGCAAGGATATGGCTACTTGTGTACAAATGAGCATCATCTGCATTGTTTTTCCTTTTTGTTGTGAACCAAGTGTCTTGGGGTGAAGAGAGGCAGAACGAATAAAACCATGCTCGGGAAAGTCTTTAGCAATTGCTGCCATACTAACAGTGACAATACTCACAAAGGCTGGGGTAATAAAGGAATGAGGAACACCTACTATGTGCCAACCACTTTCATATTTTGTCTCTAATCCTGAAGACTCTCCTCCCAAGTAAATAGTATTACTCTCCTTTCACTCGTTGATGTAAAGGATGCATATGAGAAATTGAACTGGAGAGGGAATCCAGAGAGGATTTCCTGAAAGGTGAGTTTTAAACTTAGGATTTGGAAGGCAGTGAGAGACTTGGTTCAGTAGAGGGAACATGGAGAGGGAATTTTGTAGTGAGAGGAATTTCAGATGGTCTCATCCACCTTTTTCCATAGTTCCTCCAGTTACCAGTGCAACATGGGGTATTGCAAAGTATGTTATCTGGAGTTACACATGAAGTCAGACACCCACTCTGATACTGCTAGAACATACGGAAAGTACGTAGGCCCTTTTAGCATTAGTCTTATCATCAGTAAAATAGGACTAGTATTTACCTCATGGGAGTTCTTGCAAGGACTAAACTAGACCTTAGTAAGAGTATACTTTAAAAAGAAAATAAAGATTATACTTACAAGGCATCTAGCACCTAAAAGGTGCTTGAGGAATATTTCAAACACTTTCAACATTTGTTAGGGCAGAGGGCTGATGTCATAGAGCCTCCTGAGTGAGATGGGGGCTGTGGTGACTGAGGTGTTTATGGCTTGAGCTAGCCTCGTACTGTCCTGTCTCCCATTGTTGCACTACTCTATTTCTTTATAACACTTACTACTCTCAGAAGTTTTTTTTTTTTATGTATGTAGAGATGGACCCTGACTTATGACAGTTCAGCTAATGATTTTTTTTTGGCTTATGATCATGCAAAAGCAATGTGCATTTAGTAGAAATTATGCTTCAAATACCCTTACTACTATTCCTTTATTTTTTAAAGTTTTTTGCCAGAGGGTGTGTGCCCTTGTCAGAGACAGAGAGAGGAAAAGTGAGAAATCATCCTCTAGGGGTGATGGACATACTACAATCCTTTCTTCTCTGTTCTTCTCTTGGGAACGTGGGAATCCAGTACCTTAACCACCATACCAACTACTGACCCCAACTTTTTTTTTTTTTCTCTTTCAGCTCACTATTCGATAAATTACATGAGATATTCAACAACTTTGTTATAAAAATAGGCTTCTTGTTAAAGTTGGATTTTGTCCAAGTGTCGTTTAATGTAATGTTTTGAGCATGTTTAAGGCAGTCTAGGCTAAGCTATGATGTAGAGGAGGTTAGGTGTATTAAATGCATCTTCAACTTATGATATTTTCAGTTTACAAAGGGTTTATCAAAATGTAACTCTATCCTAAGTGGAGGAGCATCCATATTTGTATCTTTGTTTATTGTTTGTAACTGTCTGCTTCAGGCTCTGCTGGGGAAGTGTTTTTGACCTGATTTTAAGGCTGATCCCTCAACTCAATTTCTGGATCCTATTCTTTCTTGCCTCCTCAGGGACTCTGCTCCAGGAGTCATCTCCTTTTTTTCTGCGTAATTGATTTCTTCCTGTCTCTGGAGTTATATCTGCTAGCACACAAATGTATCATTATATCACTCATCTTTAATACATGAAGATCCACATCCTCCCTTGACCCCCACATCTTGCTCCAGTCATTACCCCATTTCTCTGCTCCCCTTGAAAGAAGAAAACTGAGTTGTCTGTACACACTGTCTCCAATTCCTCACCTCTTATTGCTCAGTTGGATGGTCAGTCCTGCCTCTTTGTGAATATTCTCCATAACAAGGGTATCAGTGACTACATTTGGCTAAAAAAAAAGATTAATTCCTATAGATAACTTTATTGGACTTCTCAGTAGCATTTAGTAGGGTTAACCACTCATTCCAGGATTCCATGAAACCCTCTCCCTTGGCTCTCTTTTTCCTACATTCCCCACCAGGCTCTCATGGCTTGGATTTTAACCTCAGTGACCTTCTTTTTTATTTGTGCTGTTTATAGTGATGTCATCCCCTTTCACCTTCTATATGCTGAGGCATCATCACAATCCTCTTATGAGCACATAGGGCTTGTCTAAGCCTTATCCTCAACATTTCTACTTGGGTGTACAAGCATCATGTCGAAAGAAACATGGCCAAATGCAACATTCGTTGATTTTCTTCCAACTCCATTTCTTATTTAGCTCTCTCCATCTTAGGAAAGAGTACTCCTATCCAACTCATTGCTTGGGCCCAAATCCTCAACTTATTTTCTCTTTTTATACACCTCCAAATGCAATCAATGAATATATCCTATGGACTGTTTCCAGATATTTCCATCTTTACTGTTTTTCTTTTTTTTTCCCCAATACATGTTATCATTATTTCTTGCTGGACTCTTGCAACAGCTTTCTGACACGTCTCTCTGGCTTGATTTCTGTCTCTATTTCCCCGTCACCGAATCCTTCTTTCATAGAGCAGCCAGGAGGGCCTATCTAATGTAGAAATTGGATCATGACACTTTTCTGCTTAAGGGAGTGGTTCCCATTTCATTTAGTAAAACTCACATGTGTGTACATGTGCATGCACACAAACATACAAATTCTGTTCCATGACCGCTAGCCTCTTTAAAATTTGGTCCCTGCTTCTCTCTCTAATTTAAACTCCCTTTATTCTCTTCTTATTCATCCTCACTGGCTTGCTTTCTGACTCTTGTACACACAGAGCTTTTCCCTGCCTTTTCTGGAACACTCTTCCCTCAAATCACATAGATATCTTTCTTGTTGTTCAGCTCCTCACTCAAATAGTACCTCCTAGAAGAGGACGTTTCCATCAACCATACCTAACTTGCTCTTTTTCCAATCTACTCTTATCCTGTTTTATTTTCTTTATTGTATTTAACAGCTGAAAGTATTTCATTTATTCATTTCTACTCATTTGACTTCCACTAAAACAGGTCTTTTGGAGAGGTTTTATTTCTGAGTTCTAGAATAATTAATACCTTGCACATAGTAGTGGGCTCCTATGTATTTATGGAATGAATAAACAAAAGGCTACTCGAGGATCTAGTTTACCCTATGAGACAATGTCAAATGCCTATTCGCCTCTACCTACTCTCCTCATCTCCCTATGCCTTTCCTGTCTCCCCCCCCCCATTCATTGAATACAAATTTCATAAGGATTTGGACCATAACACAAAAAGGTTTGGAAGGAAACACTGCATAATCCAGTGATTTTTAAGAGTCCCCAAGTTCTAGTTAGCATGGTGCATGGCAATGATGCTAAATGAACTGTGAGAGTCTTACCAGGTCAAAACCCAGCTTTATAGGGCAGCCCAAAATAGAGGCTGTGCTCTTTTTGTCTTTACCAGGGAAGTCTGTGGAGTCTCCAAAAGTGTATCAAGGTTTAATAGACAAATAATGTGCTTGGTAGAATTGTACAATGAGAGAGACGCTTGCAAAGTCTCCAGAGTGTGGCTCCGGATATTGAAATTTCCTTCAGGTGCACTTGGGGCCTGACTGGATGGTTTCAATTAGAAGTCAATTAACATCAATCAAAGCAAACTCCAGTGCTAGCCAATTCATCTTGAATTGACCCGACTCCCTTCTGACCCTTCCCAGTTTTGCATAAGTGAAGGCATGAAATGGAAATGCTTTTGATTCAGTTCATTGTGGAGCTAGGAATCCTTAACCACTGTAGTCATGGCCATTTGGGGACCAGCTGGTCCTGGGCACCCTATCTGACCTTTTACTGCCCCTTTAAGTGGTTGAGCGTGGCCTAGGTAGCACAGTCAGAAGCATATAAAAGTGCACTTCTAGTCCTTTCTCACCATTCACAGGCAAAATGCTGAACCATTGGTGACAACACATCATGTGACGACTTGCTGCCAGTCATCCTGGCTCTGACTTTAATATTATCATATTCTTAGGTTTGACTCACAAATTGCCTCTCACTACTTTTTACTTTTTTTCAGTATCCATCCTGAATTATTAATTTAATTTCACTTATTTAGTTTTCTTTCTTTTTAAAATTTATTTTTACATTTTCCCACAAACATTTACTTTACATATCAAACAATTTTAACTCATACTCCATAGTTCTTGAAAGTTAATAAAAAACCTTTCAAAATTTCAAAATACTGAATTTTAAAGATAATGTTCAAAATATTTGTTATAATTTTGTATAATTTTGTTTGTGTCTCTATAACAACAGAAGCAGTATGGTTTTAGATATTATTGAGAAAATATTTGCAGGTAAACTACTCAAATTGTTGAAAAGCAAATGCCCAGCACGCTAGTCACACATAAACCTTCTCAATTCAGTCCTGCCCAAGTGTATTCTATGATATACCATCTGCTAGCAAAGATCAGTTTCTTTTTCTTCCTTCAAAGTCTTTCTCAAGATAATTCTCTGATGTAGTTGCTCTTTTGCAATCTCTACTGATTACAATGCTTGTCTGCTACTGGCAAATTCTTTCAAGTCTTGTTTATCTGAAAATGTTTTTATTCTTTCTTTCCATATGAAGATAATATTGCTGGGTATAGTATTCTTGGTTGAAACTGTTTTTCACTTAACGCGTTGAATATATTTTCCCATTCTTTCTTTGCTCGCATTGTTTCTGATGAGAGGTCTGAGGTTAGCCTGAAAGGATATCCTTTATAAGTAACCTGATGTTTTTCTCTTGCCAATTTTAGTATCTTCTCTTTGTCTGTAGATTTGACCAGTCTGGCTATGATGTGCCTTGGAGAAGATCTTCTTGGGTTGATTCT